GCAGATGGTGATTAACGCCACACGGGGCCAACTTAGATGAGCACTTTCGCAACTTCCTGTCGGCTTTATTTTATGGCTTTTTTTTTTTTTTTTTTTAATTTTTTTTTTTTTTGGGGGGTGTTCAGGTCGGACGGCGGTGTGATTGACGCAACTGACTGAGCGAACAAGTGTGTGTTCTCGGGCAGTTGGAGAAAAAAAAAATGGAAAAACAAAAAAAGGCTTCACGAAGAAAAGAAGAAAAGGTGAAAAGCTACACGAACGCAGGACAGACAGGCGGAGATCTACCCACCCCACAAGTGAGCCTCCATCAAAGGGTCCCCAAATTTAGGAAGTCTCTATCAATTTCTCTGGAAAAAAAAAAAAAAAAAAAAAAAAAATGTGTAACGTGTAACGTGCACACGACATGGGGAGAGCAGGCCCCTCGTAATATGGTTGCAGGGGTGAAGCACCCACAAATGGGGACTACTTTTTTTTTTTTTTTTTTTTTTTTTTTGTTTAAAATGAACGAATTACTAATTTTTTTTTCAAAGGAGTTGCTCTCCAAGAGGTCCGTGTAGAAGGGGTTGCAAACAGCGTCCACGTAAATTTTGTGAAGTTTTATAAACATCTGGCAGGGGTGTGTGTGTGGGGGGGGGTGGGCGCGTGTCTGTGTACGTATTCGCCGCGTGTCTGTGTACGTATTCGCCGCGTGTCTGTGTACGTATTCGCCGCGTGTCTGTGTACGTGTCCGCCGCATGCATGTGTGTGGCACTCACCGACTTGAGCATATCATCCGTGTATTTATTTTTTGCATCATCAACGGTGATAATTATTTTGAGGTTAATTGCCTTAACAACGTATGCGTAGTTCTTGTAGGCGCTGAAGAGGGAGAGGTTGACTCCTATGTACCCGACATAAGGGTCGGTCTTCTTCTCGCTCGACTCGGCTGCGCGGGGTTGAAGGGCAAAGGTATAAAGTCGTTTGAAGAGAACACAAATACACGTCCTCACTTTCTTCGCATGATCACTCGGGTAGAGTAAAGGAAGTGGTGCTCCGGTTACACAAAATTCAATTTGTTTTTTTTTTTTTTTTTTCTTCCCCCGCCCCCCTACTCAGTTTCTTTAAATTGTCCAAGGCAGCAAAAACGGAGAAGCGAGAACTTAGCTCGTCGCTTTTTTCCGTTGAGTGAAAAAATAAAATCTCGTCGTCCTCCCCAAGGTAGCAAAGACTCTTGATGGCCATTTTGTCTCTTCCCTGCGGCTGCAACAAAAAAAAACACAAAAAGGACGCGTTAGAGAGGGGCGGCGTCAGAGGGGTAGCGACGTTAGAGATGGGCAGCGTCAGACGGGGGGAATGATGTGGAGTTGTGTAGGGTCCTGTTTGAGAGAGTTTTGTCACAGAGGTATGGAGACCTGCTCGCTCACTTGTTCTTTTTATGCGCGCTGTGGGGTTAGCACTGCAGTTGAAAACAAACACCTGGACGTACATGTGTGTGTGAGAGGGGAAGAACATCCGCTGGGTCACAGGGACGAGAAGAGCGGGCAGGAGAAAAAAAAAAGATAAGCTCCTAGGTCTGCATATGAAAAATACTGGGCAAGTTTCACCCCATGTAGCAACGAGGAATACGCACAAGGAGGGGATAAGAAAAAAAAAAAAAAAAAAAAAAAAAAATGTTGCTACGGAGTAGAAAATATTGTTTATAGTTGCTCTCCTTGTGGGCTTGTAACTCTGCACTAGTTGCTAAACATTTTTTTTTTTTTTTTTTTTTTTTCTCGCGGCGCGTGCCTGCCTTTTCTCCCCCCCCAACGGTGGCCGCTCCCTCCACATGTTACGAACCCATCGAATAAGAGAGAAAAAAAAAAAAAAAATAGGATGCTTTTTGTTTTTTTTTTTTTTCGAAAAGGAATAAGTTGATTTTTCCTATAGGAGTGTATCTTTCCTTGTCACCCTCTCACATTCCATAGAAGGAAAAAAAAAAAAAAAAAAAAAAAAAAAAAAGGCAGTGTGGGAAAGAACCCCAATAAAGGTCCCCCTGCCGTGTGGTGTGATGAATTGTAAAAAAGGGAGAGCAAGCATCCACAGAGTCGAGTCAGTGATAGTAGAACGCAAGGTCGTTTATCGCCGTACCATATGCGACGCACCAAAACAACACGACGTTACGGAAGAGGTGACGATCGTTGCTCCTTCCACTGTGTAGAATGCGCAAACCCGCGTGTGCAACAAGGAGAGCAGGTAGCTAGTTGGGGCTACATGCGCATGTAGATCCGATCTCCGCAGCCAAGTGGTGAAGTGGTGTAGTAGTGAAGTGGTGAAGTGGCGACGTGGTGCAGCAGCAACGTGTGGCAAGCGTAAAAATGTCCCGCGTGAGGAAAAGGCGGCCCGCCTTTCTGCTCCTTTTCCTGATTGGCAGCCTTTTCCTGTGGGAGGAACACAGTGGCAAACGAGTGAGCTCCTTTTCCGGGGTGTCCCCCCTGGGGGGTGGAAGGCGCGCCTTCTTCTTCATTGGAGGACCCCTGCAGAGGGAAGATCGGGGGTGGGCAAGTGGAACCCAACGCACCAGACAACCCCTCGACGGAGCGAAAAAAACACATGTACAAGCAGATGGAACTGTGGGTACCCGGCGAAGCGGAGCACATGGCAGACTGTTCTACAACATGGGTAGACACCCCAGTGAGAAAAATGTTGAAAAGAGAGGAACATATGAGCGGTTACCTGACCAGCAAGGTGTGTATAAATCTGGTCGTTCATGTGTCCGCCTCTCTCCCCTGCGCATGAGTGATGAAGAGTACACTATAAACTCAGACGATTACACAGAGAAGGCATGGGAAGCAATAACTACACTAAATAAGATAGGAGAAAAATATGAATCTGCTTATGTAGAAGCAGAGATGCTTCTTCTTGCTCTGTTGAATGATGGTCCGGAGGGACTGGCTCAGAGGATCTTAAAAGAGAGTGGCATTGATACAGATTTGCTCATGCAAGAGATTGACCAGTATTTAAAAAAGCAACCTAAAATGCCAAGTGGATTTGGCGAACAGAAGATTTTAGGCCGGACATTACAAGCAGTGTTAGGTACAAGTAAGAGGTTGAAAAAGGAATTCCATGACGAGTACATTTCAATTGAACATTTACTGTTGGCTGTGATTGCAGAAGATTCAAAATTCACTCGACCATGGTTACTCAAATACAATGTGAATTATGAAAAAGTGAAAAAAGCAACAGAAAGAGTTCGAGGGAAAAAAAAAGTAACTTCAAAAACGCCAGAGATGACTTACCAAGCGTTGGAAAAGTACAGTCGTGATTTAACTGCTTTGGCTAGAGCAGGTAAATTAGATCCTGTTATAGGTAGGGATACTGAAATTAGAAGAGCGATTCAAATTTTGTCTAGGAGGACAAAGAACAACCCAATCTTGTTAGGTGACCCCGGGGTTGGTAAAACAGCTATTGTTGAAGGGTTGGCCATAAAAATCGTTCAAGGAGATGTGCCAGATTCGTTGAAGGGAAGGAAGTTAGTCTCCTTAGATTTGTCTTCTTTAATTGCAGGAGCAAAATATAGAGGTGACTTTGAAGAAAGACTGAAAGCTATATTGAAAGAAGTACAAGATGCAGAAGGACAGGTGGTTATGTTCATAGACGAAATACATACCGTGGTTGGGGCAGGAGCAGTAGCAGAAGGTGCTCTAGATGCAGGGAATATATTGAAGCCTATGCTTGCTAGAGGAGAGTTGAGGTGTATTGGTGCCACCACAGTCAGTGAGTACAGACAGTTCATTGAAAAAGATAAAGCATTGGAGAGAAGGTTTCAGCAAATATTGGTAGAACAACCTAGTGTTGATGAAACCATTAGCATATTAAGGGGGCTAAAGGAAAGATATGAGGTACATCATGGAGTTCGTATATTAGATTCTGCTCTTATTCAAGCAGCCGTTCTGTCGGACAGGTATATTAGTTATAGGTTCCTTCCAGATAAGGCCATCGACCTGATTGATGAGGCCGCGTCAAATTTAAAAATTCAATTGTCCAGCAAGCCCATTCAGCTCGACAATATTGAAAAGCAGCTCGTGCAGCTCGAAATGGAAAAAATTTCCATCCTGGGCGACAGCCCACGCGGTGTGAGTAGCGGTGTGAGTAGCGGCGTGGTGAGCGGTGTTAGCAGTGTTAGCAGTGTTAGCAGTGTTAGTAGCGGCGTGAGTAGTGGCAGTGGCAGTGGCAGCGGCAGCGGCAGCGGCAGCGGCAGGAATGGCGCGCCCCATGGGGCGGCTGCCCAGGCGGAGGAGGCGTCCGTGGATTATTCGCAGAGCCCGAATTTTTTGAAAAAAAAAATTAACGAAAAGGAGATCAACCGACTCAAAATGATAGACCACATAATGAGCCAACTGAGGAAGGAGCAAAGGAGTATCCTCGAGTCCTGGTCTTCTGAAAAAAGTTACGTGGACAATATAAGAGCCATTAAGGAAAGAATTGATGTTGTTAAAATTGAAATAGAAAAGGCCGAGAGGTATTTCGATCTGAATAGAGCAGCTGAGTTGAGATTTGAAACTTTACCTGACCTAGAAAAACAATTGAAACAGGCAGAAGACAATTACTTAAATGATATTCCAGAGAGGAGTCGCATGCTCAAAGATGAAGTGACGAGTGAAGATATTATAAACATTATAAGTCTGTCCACAGGGATAAGATTAAATAAACTTCAAAAGTCAGAAAAGGAAAAAATATTAAATTTAGAAAATGAATTACATAAACAGATCATTGGCCAAGATGATGCAGTTCGTGTTGTTGCTAAAGCGGTACAGAGATCTCGTGTAGGGATGAATGACCCCAAGAGACCTATTGCTTCTTTAATGTTCTTAGGTCCTACAGGAGTGGGGAAAACAGAATTGTCTAAAGTGTTAGCAGATGTACTATTCGATACACCAGATGCAGTGATTCATTTCGACATGTCTGAGTACATGGAAAAACATTCTATAAGTAAGTTGATTGGAGCTGCTCCTGGTTATGTGGGATATGAACAAGGGGGTCTTTTAACAGATGCAGTGAGGAAGAAACCTTACTCCATTATCCTATTTGATGAGATTGAAAAGGCACACCCAGATGTATATAATTTATTACTTCGTGTTATTGAAGAAGGAAAATTAACAGACACAAAAGGAAATCTAGCCAATTTTAGAAACACTATAATTATTTTCACTTCCAATTTGGGTAGCCAGAGCATCCTAGACCTAGCAAATGACCCTAACAAAAAGGAAAAAATAAAAGAGCAGGTCATGAAATCGGTAAGAGAAACCTTCCGTCCTGAATTCTACAACAGAATTGACGACCATGTTATATTCGACAGTCTGTCGAAAAAGGAACTAAAACAAATTGCTAATATTGAAATTGAAAAAGTGGCTAACAGACTGATGGACAAGAATTTCAAAATCTGCATCGACGATGCTGTGTTTTCTTATATTGTGGATAAGGCATATGACCCCGCCTTTGGGGCCAGACCTCTTAAGAGAGTCATACAGTCCGAAATTGAAACGGAAATCGCCGTGCGTATTTTGAATGAAACCTTCCAGGAGAATGACACCATCCGCGTCTCCCTCAAGGACGGCGCGCTCCACTTCGCCAAGGGGTAAAAAAAGAACAAAAGCGGAGCCGCGCACGCTACCTGCTGCTTCACACGTTACCGCCAGCACTTTTTTGTATCCCCCTCTTTACCAACTGTAGCATGTGTAGCGTGTGTAGCATGTTTACCACTAACTGTGCATACCTTTTTTTTTTTTCCTTCTTTTTAATTACCCTTTCGAGCAAACATTGAATAATTGATCAACAAAATTGTCTAACGTGATGAAGAGGGGGATGTGTGTGTGTGTGTGTGTGTGTTTATATGTCTCCTTCCCCCTTTTTTAAGTCCACATGCACGAAAAAAATGAAGTAAAATGAAGTAAAATAAAGGGGCATATATATGCGGCGTATATGGCCCATTCAATCCGATCAGGTAAGCAACCCCACCCCAAACGTGTTGGTGTTGTGTGCTTTTTATACGCGTTAGCAGAGCAGTGTGAAAACTCTTCCATCATGACAAAAAGGGGTGCATGTTAATGAAACACACAAAAAAAAAAAAAAAAGAAACTCCAATTCAGTATGTCTTGCCAATCGTGCAATCACTCCACTGGGTGGAAGCAGCATGTTCTCCCACATCTTCATCTGTGTCCTTTCGTCTGTGAAGTGGTTTGTTTAATGTGCTTCTTATCCCTGTTGACGTGTTAGCCCGCGTTGACTTTTTTTTTTTTTTTTTTTTTTTTTTTTTTTTTTTTTTTTTTTTTTTTTTTTTCTTTTTCTTCTTCTTCTTCTTCTTCTTCTTCTTCTTCTTCTTCATCTTCTTCTTCTTCCATGTGTCCCTCCTAACCATCATGTATTTCCACCTTGTGCATGTACGAGAACTGTTTGCACTCCATTTTTATTTCAAGGATTCCTGTGGGGTGAGAAGTGGGGTGAGAAGTGGGGTGAGAAGTGGGGTGAGAAGTGGGTTAAGAAGTGGCGTTAAGAAGTGGGTTGAGAAGTGTGGTTAAGACGGGGGTTACGTAGTGGGAGGAGTACACGCGTGTGCCGCGTACGACGCGTCTTATCCCTTGAATGCACGCCGCTCACCATTCTTGTACAGGGCCTGCGCAGTGTCGTCGAGGATGTTGTGGGGTAGCTTGAAAATCCTTTTGAAGTAACCCACCTCCCTTTCCTTCGCATGCAAGATTAAGTTGTCTCCATACGTTTCGAATAGCTCCGTCTGTGACCTGGGCCCAGAAACGGTGAGCATTCCCTCGCCGATCTCAACGTCAATGTCTTCAATTTTAAACCCCGGAATGTCCAACACCAGGATGGCTTGGCACTTTTCAGAGTCGTACATGATGTCCACCTTGGGTCTGAAGGTAATTTGCTTTTTTAAATTTTTGTCCGGCTCTATTTCCAGGATGGTGTTCGGGCTCACCAGCGTGTTCTTCTTCTTTGGGATCGACGGCTTCTCCTTCTGCACGGTGTGGTTGCGGTGTGGCGGTGTGATTGCGGTGTGATTGCGGTGTGATTGCGGTGTGGTTGCGGTGTTATTGCTATGTATTTGCGATGCTCGGGTGGAGTCGACGGAGGGCACGCATCCATTCCCGTGACACCGCGCCATATGTCTGTTGCTTCTTTTCTTTTCGCTTTTGCCCAACGAGGTGCTAGCAGGTCACAAAAAAATGCAGTGTCTAGGACGAGGCAACACTTACGATATCCATTCTGTGGTCCGGGACCAACTTCACTTCTCCCTTGTCAGAACAACCGGCACACAAGCAATTCATTGTGACGACGTGGGAGCAAGTAAATAAAATAATGAACGAATGAACGAATGAATGAACAAATACACAGCCGGATGAGTCGCAAAACAAGACTTGGGTTGGGGTAACTACAACGATAAAAGACGCGTCCTCCGAACAATTCCGTTTCGCGCTTCTTCACGCGATTAAATTAACAGTTGTGCAAGGGCTGCGTTTTCACCTGATGGAGGCACAATCAACGGGTGGAAATTTAAAAAAAATGGACAAACAGGATGGTCAGAAAAAAAAAAACGTGACAATAACAAGATGTGTCTTGGGGGAAAAATTAACTGGTGAGTTGAATGGTTTAAAAAAAGAGCCCAAATGGGAAGCAACAAAGGTAAAAAAAAAAAAATATAATAAAGACAAAAAAAAAATAAATAAGAACAAATAAGAAGAAATAAAACCATAACACAGTTCGGTAAGCGGCTAAGGGGACAACACTACGTGTGCAGTTTAGCCGTGCGGGCAAAGCTGAGGGTTCCCTTTTATCCAATTTTACGTGCCACTCAGACAGGGAAGGCACTGCGCAGAAATGAACAAAAAGAATGCTGCAGGGTGAAAGACGCAGTTGTGTGGCAACAGGCGAGGCCTAAAAAAAGACAAAAAAAAAAAAGCACAACAAATGGGAACTTAAAAAAACGGGAACAAATGGAAAACTTAAAAAAAACAGAAAGAGGGACAGAAAAGGATAGGGAGGAAAAAACACGTACAGAAAAAACAAATTTGTGAAAGCTTTTTTCAAGTCTTTTCCTTTTTCGAGCTTAACAAAAATAAATAAATACTGCGCCAAATTGAAACGCAAACATGCCGCTGCAACTTTTATAAGTGCTGTTGTTTTTTTTTTTTTTTTTTTTTTTTTTGAACTGTTCATATTTTTTTTTTTTTTTCCACGATTTGTTCATATTTTTTTTTTTTTTTTCCACAATTTGCTCATATATTTCCTCTTTCAGCAACATTTAAAAATTCTATAAAGTAACGATCGACGGGACAGCAAACCATGTGTGTGATGCCAGGCGGGATGGGAAGCCTGTAGTTTCCACGTGGAAGCAATTCATGTCTGTGCAACGTTGGGAAATGCCATGGGTGTGCACAAATGCTATGCCAACAAGTGGACAAGGGATGAGATAACTCACCGAACAGCCATTTCGTGGGGCACAACCCTTTAAATTATTGAATAGTGATGTTAAAACAAGAAAAATACGTGAAGGGACAGGTCTCAAATGGGCTTATCTGAAGAAACGCCAAATTGATTCACCTGCCCGCGTGCAACCATTTCGGCTGATGCAGGGAACATTCCTACAACTTCGTGTGCACGTAGCCACAAAACGGCCCGCTTAGACAACCACCGTTCCTTTAACACAGGGAATTCCTACACACTTGTTGAGCGTAACCAACCCTTATCAGAACGTGGAACATGTAATTTCTTTTTTGCCTGCACGGCAATACTTTTTATCCAGGTAGCTACTAATTTTGATGTAAGGAAAAAAACGTTTTTACCACCTTGCCTGGTCATAATTTTTTTTTTTTTTTTTTTTTTTTTCTTAAGAGGAATGCAAATCAAATAAAAGTTGGCTAGCAGGGCTACCTTTCTGTTATACTTAAAAAAAAAACGAATGGCCCAGAAAAATTTCATGTCTACACAGTGGAAGAGGATAAGAGCTAACAAAAAAAATGAGCTTAGAATTAACGCTTTATTAAATTTACGTCCTTTCACTTGCAGCCAAAAAAAAAAGAAAAGAAAAATCCTACAAATTATACCACTTTTTTATGTCCTTCGCACTGATCCTCATTGTGTGAAAATTAGCTCCTTTACATGTGCTGGTATGGAGGAAGATAATTACACATATATGTGTGTGTTTCGTCCTCGTTGATTTTTCCAAATATGGAGGTACTACTTCTTCCCGAGCCACTGAAGGGAAGGGGGGAAATGAAGAAGCATTTTCGGTGGGCATGATCCAGACACGGTAGCACCAAAATGGCTGTTACCGCTGCATGGAAACTGTTGCATGCACCAGGTATGCGACATGCATTTTTTCTCTCCCTCTTTGCACACCGCCAGAAAATCTTCCAAGTCGAGCGCTCCGTCTTTGTTAAAATCCATCGCGTTGAATAGCTTCTGTGAGTCCGTGTGTGTGACGCATGTAAACTCCTTGTCCCTGAGCATCTGCATGAGCTTGGTCAGGGGGATGACTTGCTTGTTCTCTTCCTTTTCGGTGACTGCGCGCGGGGGTGGGGAAGCAAAAGCGGTGATCATGCGCAACGGCGGCTGCTACAGTGTTCCGCGTAAACTGCTGAGCCACGACGACCGTGTCGCCCCCTTTTCCTTACTCGCATATTTTTGGAACTCCAACTCCACGTCAATTTTGCTGAACCCCTGGAAGAAATTCTTAAAGTACTGCGTGTCAATATCAATCACGGCTTGAATGAACTCCCCAAAGTCAATGAGGTTATTCTGGTCCATGTCGTAGTTTTGAAATAAATTATATTTTTCTAAACTCCAATCACTTTTTTGCAAATCTGCATGGGAAATAAAATTGTCGTTGTCTCTGTCCATTTTATTAAAAGCTTCTCTCCAAATGGACAAGTCTTTATCATCGTATTCATCTAGGATGGGGAATTGCTCTCTCCATTCATTAATTTTTGAGTCGTGTATTTTCTTCTTCGTGCTTTCAGCCCAGTATCTTGTGATGTGTTTTTTTTGCACGCAAAAGCAACCATTGTATGGGTCAGCTACGAAACGGACACCCTCTTTTGCATACCCCTTTTCCCAAGAGGAGAAGAAGAAGTTTCCTCCTCTGGAGAAGTCCCCTAAAACGTTACGCCAAGCTCCTTCCCTACGCGTCCGAGCGCGTAGCACCTTCTGTAGACCATTCTTCATGGTCTACCGTGAGAGGTTCTTTCTTTTGAAGAGGAGGACACTTCTTCTCCTCCTCTTGGGAAAAAGGACGCGTGGAAGGTAGTGTGCGCTGGGCTACTTCCAATTCTTTTGAGTGGATATAACATCCGTGTGGCGGTATTCCTCCTGTTTTTTTTTTGTGTGCTCTTTTTCAGCTATGTTTACTGTTTGGTGGATCCACTTTTCCACACGGCGATACTAGCCGGTACACTTATACCAGCAGTTGATCGGTCAAAATATACCCTCGGGGAAAAGAACGAAAAAATATATAACTCCACTGGAGAAACCCATTTGCATCCAGCGCGCAACTAATCCTCTCAAGTTGATCATTTTTTTTTTTTTTTCCCGTTTTGTTTAGGTCCTCTGTGGGGCATTTATACCGGCTTGGTGTTTAACTCCGTTTCACTCCTCCACTTGCGCTGCACTGAGCTACTACCCACCGCGCGTAGCTTAGCAAAAAAAAAAAAAAAAAACAAAAAAACCATGTAGGCAATTGCCCTTCAACGGATTAGTACTTTGGGCAACGGAAAAGAGGAGTGAAGCGTTAAACGCGCGAAGGAAGCATTTATGTGGCGCTTCTCAAATTGCTGAGGTGTGTAGTCTGCTTCTCATTGTAGTTGCGGCTAAGTTCATTCGTACATTTCGCAGCCATCACGCGGGGACACAACTGGGTAGAGGTGTGGAGTGACCGATCATCCACACCCCTTTCCTGTGTGAAGATACATACACATGTGTGTGGAGTGACAAAGGGGAAGTGTTACACATGGAGGAGTGCTGCTGTTGGCGCAGCCACAGGGACCCTGAACCTATAAACCACCGTTGCTACTACCCCCTCCGCATCACTCAACAAAGGGAGCCAAGTGACAACGTCGCAGTTGTTGCTATGACCCTTGGCCATTTTTTTTTTTTTTTTTTTTTTTTTTCCAACTAGCTATAAGCACGGAAATGCAAACGGTGTAGACTTGACGACCGATGAGACTTCTAAGCTGAAAATACAAACACACATGTCTCCTCACACCGTTCTCGTAATTAAATTAAACACCGCTTTGAGTTCATATCCCCCTTCTCCATGTTCCCAACTGGTTTAACCCACCAAAAAGTCCTTCAGAACATGTATTGCTCGTTCAGGTAAAATGAAAAAAAAAAAAAAATTTGGCTGTCTTCCAAGTTGTTCTCTCTGCATGTGTGCGTGGTGGGGGGGACGATGCGGAGGAAGAGTGAGAGCTGTCACCATGCGGACGGAGCGAACGTTAACATATGTTCTAAGTTACGTGTCCTCATTCCTAATCATACGTCGACATGTATGCGCGGAGGGTCTGCTCTTTTACTTTCTCCATTTTTAAAGGGACACACACTGGAAGGGGAAAAAAAAAAAAAAAAGCTACGAGACAGGCGAGGAGGCAAAAAAAAAAAAAAAAACAGAAAGACCCCACGCCGTTGACTGAAAGTTCCTTTTTTTTTTTTTTTTGAGAAAAGGTCTCCATCCCGTGAGGGAGAATATTATTAAAGGCTCCTCTGTGTGCAGTTTGTCCTGTCCGCCTCTCCTCTCCTTTTGCTGTGGACGTTTTTTTTTCTGCCCCCTTTAAGGCCAACCGTAAACTCTACTCACCTTGGCGAAAGACAAGCGCACATGGGGGATGCGGGCCTGCGCGCGGCTGTCCTTTTCCTTCTTGTCCTTCTTCTTCTTCACCTGGGCGTGTCCCGCACAACTGACGATGGGGAGCCACCGGGGGGATCCAACACCTACTCTCTCCATTTTAAAAATGTAGCAAGGACAAAAAAAAACGAACAAAAAAAGCGGTGCAAAGCAACTGAGTGTTGTCAAGTGTCGTATGCCTCTCCGCTGTGTTACCCTCCGCCCACACCACTTCACGATGGCGCTCGCTTCTTCCCCCTGCATACCACACCACAGAAGCAAAGATACGTAGTTCGCAGGGACGCGGGGTCCCCCTACAAAAGTTTCTTCCTTTACGTGGAGGAGGTTCAAAAGACATCCGTCGTGTACCCCCTCAGATATGTCAACGTAAGTTCGGGGTGGAGAAGCAGTCAGGCAGAGGGGCCCACCAAAGGGACGTGCCTTCCATCCAACACAATCGTGCCACGCGTCATACCCGTGATGAGCGTCCTAACTGTTCTACCTGCCGCCCCCCCCCCCTTAAAGGACCCCCCGATTAAATACTTCGAGCAAATTGTCCCCTACACGAGGAGAGAAATAAAGGGAAAAAATTTAAAGAACTTTTGTGAAGAAAATAAAAAACTCTACCAACATGTGAACAATCGGGAGATCTGCTTCTGCTGCCATTGCAGTCCCCACCCCGTCTTCCCCCTCTACTCACACTTAAAGTATAAGAGGCAGAAGATCTTTTGTCGCAGGAGGGGTAGGATGGCCAGCGAAGTTACATACCACTTTGTACTTTCCTATGTGTCCACCGCTCTTTTTTTTTTTTTTTTTTTTTTTTTGCTCTGTGTACCCCCCTTCAGTGACGGACGGGGAGGAGGCAGTCATTCTTACCCTGAAGTGCTTAAGGAGAAGCAAAAGAAAGTACCACTCCTTTTTCGTGCAAAGGAGTTTAAACTCCTTCATGGTTAAGGTCACCTTGCAGGAGTTCAGTGAGTACATCACGGGGGGATACATTACTGTTCTGGGCGGACGACTTATGCTTGTCTTTTTATTATCGCTACTACCAGCCTTACCACCACCACCGTGTCCTTTTTCTCCTCCCCTGTGCAGATCTGAATGATGAGTTTTTCCTGAGTAGAAATGTAAGTCATACATGGGAAGAAGCAGCATATGGGGAGTCTCCCTATAACGAACGAGAAAAAAAAAAAAAAAAAAAATACTTTTCCCGTCTACCCCCCCACAGGACAAATCGGCGCTGGAGAGCAGGACCTACCTGCTGGACCCCTCGAACACTGAAATTGATGACGGTGCGGAGAGGGGAGCAAAAAAAAGGGAGACACACAGAGCAACGCGGTGGCAACGTGGTGACAAAGTGGTGCCTCGTGGTGAGCAAACAAACTTCTCTTCCCTCCCCCCCCTTAGAGGTATTCAATGTCCGATTGAAGTTCCTCCCGGAGAGGACACACCGGGTAAGTGGCCCCTCGGGGGTGCTAACAAAAGAAGAGAGGGGGGGGTAGAACGTGTCCCCAAACGCTTTTTTCCTCAAACTGATGAACAAACCTAACCCTCTTCCCCACAGGGAGGGTCCATCGAGGGGAATTACCTTTTCATTGATTCGGACGTGTTTAAAAGGAGGGTAAAAAATGAATAAATGAATGAACGAATGAATAAAGGTGCATCCTTCACGAACGGGTAGACACGCTCAATTGAGACCCCATGTCATGTTAGCACTCGTCAGCACGTGTGTGTTATCCTCAGCCTCTTTTTCCTCAACATGGTTGTTCCATTTGTAGGTAGTCTTGGATGACTCCTTTACAGGTTTTTTTTTTTTTTTTTTTTTTTTTTCTTTTTTACGTATCCCGTGAACGTGGTCACAGATGGGTGGCGGGGTAGACACGCTTGGCGACGCTTCTTCATCACCGCTTCGTTACGCTTCCCCCCCGGTGCAGACGAGGAGGTGCTGGAGAATGGCCTCATCGTGAGCGCAGACCACGTGGACGAGAAGGGCATGGAGTGCAACAAAGTCATGGCGTACCCAAATGTGTGGGAAGAGAAAAAAGGGTTTTGTCAACACGGAAGGAACCACTGCCTGAAGGGGCAGCTCACTGAGTTTATTAAGTTGGAGGGGAGGTTAGAGGTGAAGAAGAAGGTGCGGTACAACTACTCCTTTATCATGGCCAGGAAGGACCGCCTGGGGGGGGCTGCGATTGGCGGTTCGGGTAACGGTGATGCGAACCGCGCAATGCATGGGAACCCCGCTCCCCCCCCGCGGGAACTTCAGGAGGACTACTACATGGGTCTGCAAAAACGCTCACACAACTTTGCTCAAATGACATCGCATGCCGGGGAGGGCCTAAACATAACGTACGAAGAAGACGTACATGGAGAGTCGGTCTCCCTTGTACACATGCTGCGTAACTGCTACGACTTTAACAATGAAGTCGACCCGTTCTGCTCTGTGTACATAAGCATATGGAATGCAGAGGACGTGGAGAAGGAAGTAACGGTTTCCATTAACTGTTCGAAGAAGATGGTGGTTGATGAGACTACACTCAGGAGGACACTTGTATTGTTAAAGAAGGAGGATAGTAGTGTGGTGATTAAGTTTAAACCGATCGCAGATTTGCTCGTCACCCCCTGCAGAGTGGTGGTGCAACGTCAACAGGGCCCACCCCAACCGCAGCAGCAGAAGGGGAACATCCGGGGGGAAAGCCACAAGGGTGGGCATAGAGGTAGTGGGGAAGAGGGCCAAGAGGACTTAGCCACCGAGCAGTACTTCAAGTTTTTCCTTCGTAGCAGCGAGGAAAAGGAAGAGACACCGGGGAGGATCATTTGGAACAGCCCCCTGCACTTCCACCACGTCAGTGGGGATATCATTCAATTGCATAAAAAAAGACTTGAGCTGCTGGAACAAGAGGACGAGGGTGCAGATGGAGGAGGAGGAAGAGCGACAATTCCCTTTAGCGGTTATTCAATAAGTGTGAAAGTTTTTTTTCTCCTCCTGAGCATCATCCTGGTACTCACCTTTGTCGTCCCCAGTGTGCACCCACTCAACGGGTTCTTGCTCAAACGGAAATGGTTCTACACCTTGAGGAAGGTTCGCATGTTTTTCATTTGGCTCATACAAGACGCGTGTCGCTTTGTTCATGTGATTGTGAAACGAACCTTTAAAGGGGTTAAGTGTGTCTTGGTGAAGGTGTACAGGGCTGTCTTCAGGGGAAGACGTAAGCGAAGGAAGAAAGAGCAGCAGATTATTGGGGATTCCTACCTGCACAAACAGATGCGCAGGAGAAAGAAGGATGAGAGAAGGAGAAAAAAAAAGTTGAAGGGGGACAAGTTGATCAGGGAACAGGAGGAGATGCGAAGAAGAAGGCACAAAAGGTTAATGCTCCACGAGGAGCAGTGTAAGGGGGGGCGCCACCACTCGAGGAGAGGTCAATCAAAGGGGGGAGATTCTTCCTCTGCCCCTTCCCCCTGCTGCGAAAGAAGCGAAAGAAGCGAAAGCAGCGCAAGCGGCGACAGGAGTGAGCACGTCCGTCGCCCTAAAAGGGACGGAGCACGAGGGAAGAAAAATCACAGAACAAGGAATTCAAGCAAAAGGGGCGAGGGGGGAAAGACAAACAGGGTAGTTGCTTCACCCCACTAGTGAATAAAAAGGAAAGGCGTCACCACGCAGCGCATTGTATGGTTGCTTTTTTTTTTTTTTTTTTTTTCCCGCTCCCTTCGTTGCTTCGCCCATTTGCCAACCTCTACAAAGAGCAACGCCCGTGTGAAGTGCACAGGGAGGAACATGTTCCCCAGTGCATACCTGTACATGCATGTATATGCAACGCACATGTGCGCATACCTTTGTGTGTGGGGGGGGGAGCATGTTCCCGCTCTCTCTCTCCCTCCATTGCCCCCTGTTAAAAAAAAAATGAAACAGCAGGCAACTGCCACCCTTCACTCGATTTATCCGACTGTGGCCTTCATCCAAGTTGACACATCCACACGCACACGTATTTATATATACCGAAGCGCGAGGCTCTGCAAAATGACTCGCTTATTTTTGTATCGTCTCAGGGGACAGAGCAAAATGCGTTTGTTTAAAATAACTGGTGACAAAATTACACACGCAAGTGGGGGGGGGGGGGGAAGGAAGGGTTAACCAAACCTTGCGCAAAAAAAAAAAAAAAAAAAAAAAATTCATGCAATTTTTTCCATGGTGGAAAAATAACACGTTCGGTCAATTGGGCCCGGGCCCACTGTGGGTAAGGCAGGCTCTCTGACGGGGATGGGCAAAAAAAAAAAAAAAAAAAAAAAAAAAAAAAAAAAAAAATACACATACATATACATATACATACACATGCACGTACACATACACATGCACGTACACATACACATACACGTGAGGGCAATAATGGTAAACGCTTGGCACGCGGAAAGGTCCCCATTTTTACTCCAAGGCAAAACTGCGTGTGGACGTCACCCCCCCCCGCAGGACAGTCCGGCCTGTTCTTGCGCAACGGAGTGGTGAACTGGGTCCCCCGTGCAGCTCGCGCATGTTTATGTAGTTTTTACGAGGGTTGGCAAAAAATTTGTTTCATCGTGACGTTCCGTCGCGCGTTGCTCGCTTGTCTCTACTTCGTTTGCCTGTAGCATTTCTCGCTTGTCTCTAC